TGGCACTATCTCTGCTGACTGCAACCTCTGTCTCCTGGACTCAAGTGATCCTCCGACCTCAGCCTTCCAAGTAGCTGAGACCACAGGTGTGCACCACCACACCTGGCTAATTTTTCTGTATTTTTCATAGAAATGGGTTTCACCACATTGCCTGGGCTGGTCTTGACCTCCTGAGCTCAAGGGAATTATCAGCTATGGCCTCCCAAAGTGCTGGGATTGCAGGTGTGAGCCACCGCATCTGACCTTTTTATTTTTAATTTTTGTAGAGATGGAATCTCAATGTGTTGCCTCGGTTGGTCTGAAACTCTTGGCCTCAAATGATCCTCCTGCCTCAGCCTCCCAAAGTGTTGGGATTACAGGTAGGAGCCACCACACCTGGCCAACTATCTTTTTATTTACTTGTTTGCCATCTGCATATCTTCTTTGTGGAAGTGTCTGTTTGGATCTGTTGCCTATTTTTAAATTGGGTTGTTTGTTTTCTTATTGTTGAGTTTTAGTTCTTTGTATAATTTGGATACCAGCTTTCTTTTTTCTTTATTTTTTCAGATAAAGTCTTGCTCTGTTGCCCAGGCTGGAGTGCAATGGCGCAATCTCGGCTCACTGGCACCTCTGCCTCCCAGGTTCAAGTGATTCTCTTGCCTCAGCCCCCTGAGTAGCTGGGATTACAGGCATTCACCACCACACCCAGCTAATTTTTGTATTTTTAGTAGAGACAGGGTTTTGCCATGTTGGTCAGGCTGGTCTCAAACTCCTAACCTCAGGTGATCCCCCCGCCTCGGCCTCCCAAAATGCTGGGATTACAGATGTGAGCCACCATGCCTGGCCTGGATACCAGCTTTTTGTCTGATAGGTGTTTTGAAAAGATTTTCTCACAGTCTATAGTTTCTCTTTTTATTCTCTTAAACATCTAATTTTCCTATCACTCCTCCCCATGCAAAATATACATTTTTTGACTGGACCCTGCCAGGGATCTAAGAGTGAGAACAAGAGTCAGACCTGGCCAATCTGAGTGCTTCATGACCTTGGTTACAATGTGCAATAGTTTGGATGTATGTCTCATCCTTTTTTTTTTGAGACAGAGTTTTGCTTTGTCACCCAGGCTAGAGTGCAGTTGCACAGTCTTGGCTCAGTGCAACCTCCACCTCCTGGGTTCAAGTGACCCTTCTGCCTCTGCCTCCTGAGTAGCTGGGATTACAGGCACACGCCACGCCCGGCTAATTTTTGTATTTTTGGTAGAGACGGGGTTTCCCCATGTTGGCCAAGTTGCCTTCTAAACTTCATTGTTGAAATTTGATCCCCAATGTTGGAGATGGGGTCCTAATGAGAGGTGTTTTGGTCACAGGTGTGACCAAAAAATAGATTAATGCCCTCCCTGGGGGTGTGGGTGAGTTCTTCCTCCATTAGTTCCCATGAGAGCTGGTTGTTAAAGAGAGGCTGACACCTGCCTCTCTTGCTTCCTCTATTGCCATGTGATTCCTGCTTGTTTTCTCCTTCCACCAAGAGTGGAAGCAGCTTGAGACTTTCTCTGCATGCCCAATCTTCCAGCCAGCAGAATCATAAGCCAAATACACCTTTTCCCTTTATAAATTACCCAGCCTCGTGGATCACTGTAGGTCAGGAGTTCGAGATCAGCCTGGCTAACATGGTGAAACCCTGTCTCTACTAAAAATACAAAAAATTAGGCAGGTATGGTGGTGGGTGTCAGCTACACTGGAGGCCGAGGCAGGAGAATCACTTGTACCTGGGAGGCGGATGTTGTAGTGAGCCGAGATTGTGCCACTGCATTCCAACCTGGGTGACAGAGCAAGATCCTGTCTCAAAATAAATAATAAAATAAAATAAAATAAAAATTACCCAGCATCAGGTTTTCCTTTATAGCAAGACAACATGGACTAAGACACATGATTGCTATAGAAATGGACATGTGACCCAAGTTGGGCCAATGAGAGCTAACCTTGACACTTTGGTATCACCATTCAGGAAGGCAGTACCCCTTTTCTGCTAGGTTGTTAAAATGATAGGATGGAAGCTTCGAGCTGCTCTGGGCCCTGTTTGTCACCATGAGGGAAGAGATTCTGCCTGAGAAGGAAGTCAAGATACAGAAAAGTAAGGTCCAGGTGGGAAATGAGCTGTATTCCTAAATATTCATTTTAGTGCCTGGATCCAGTTATGCCTGAAGCTAGTTATACAGCTCAGTTCTATAAGTCAACAAACTCCCTTTGTCAAAAGCAAAAAAATAGCGAGAGTACTTTCCAGAGAGCAAGGCTTATTATAATAATAATTAAAGCAGCGTAGTCTTGCAAGGAAAAACAAATAGACCAAAAGAATAAGATGGAAAAATCAGGAAAATTTCACACATATATGGTAACTTGGTTTATGACAAAAGCAACATTGCAGTGCAGTGAGAAGCAAAAAATGATCTTTTTGAATAAATAGGGCTGAGCTAGTTGATAGCCATATGACCTCTACCTCACACCACACACAAAAGTTGGTTCCAGATGTGTTGTAGATCAAATGTTAAACTTAAACATTAAAACTTATAGAAGAAAATATCATAGAGTATCTTCAGAACCTTCAGGGTAAGAAAATATTTCTTTTATTTACTTGTTTGTTTTAGTAGAGATAGGGTCTCGCTATTGCCCAGGCTGGTCTCGAACTCCTAGGCTCATGTGATCCTCCCTCCTCAGCCTCCCAAAGTGCTGGGATTACAGGCATGAGCCATTGTATCTGGCCAGAAATTATTTCTTAAACCAGAAATAAAGGAGCCTTAACTATAAAGGAAAATGTTGATAAATTGGACTACATTAAAATAGAAACTGATCTTCATCAAAAAATACCATTAAAAGAATGAAAAGGCAAGCCAGAGAGTGGGAGAAAAATATGTATTCTAACAAAGGACTCATATGAAAAATAAAGAAAGAACTCCTACTAACCTGTTTTTTTAAAAAGGCAGAAAAACCAGTTGAAAAATGGACAAATGGTGTGAATTGACATTTCACAAAATAGCATATTCATATGGCCAATAAATATTTGAAACACTGTTACATTTATTTAGGCACTGGGCTAAAGGTAAATTAAAACCATAATAAAACACGGCTACACTCCCACCAGAATTGCTAAAATTGAAAGGACTAACAATACCAAATGTTGGTGAGCAACTGAAATTCTCAGAGACTGATGGCGGGGGTATAAATGGAGAAAATTAGTTTGAAAACCTGGTTGGCAGTGTCTATTAAAGATGAACATGAGGCTGGGAATGGTGGATCATGCCTGTAATTCCAACACTTTGGGAGGCCGAGGTAGGCAGATCACTTGAGGTCAAGACCATCCTGGCCACCCCAGTATCATTAAAAAAAAAAAAAAAAAAAATGAACATTCACATAGCATGCACATGCCCTGGGACCTAGCAATTACACTTCTAGGTATATACCCAACAGAAATACAGAAATGCCTACATACGTTCACTAAAATTCAATGTGTATAGCAGTACTATAAGTGATTGTGCCAAACCAGAAGCCAACTAAATGTCAATCAACAGTAGAATGGATAAATAGATTATTATGTATTCCCGTAACACCCTGACCTCGTGATCCTCCTGCCTCGTCCTTCCAAAGTGCTGGGATTACAGGGGTGAGCCATCATGCCTGGCCCATAGTGGAAAATTATTTAACCTTAAAAAGGAAGGAAATGTGGGCAACAGAGCAAGACTCCATCTCAAAAAAAAAAAAAAACAAAAAAAACAAAAAGGAAGGAAATACTAACACATGCTACAACATGGGTGAAGCCTGAGGACATTCCTGCTAGGTGAAACAATCCTGTCATGAAAAGACATGCTGTATGATTCCACCTACACAAGGTACCCAGAGTAGTCAAATTGATAGGGAATTTCCCAGACGGTGCAATGTGCTTCCCAGGGGTTGGGAAGAGAAGCCAGTGGTAGTTGCTTAATCGGAACAAAATTTCAATTCTACAAGAGGAAAGAGTGGAAATGAGTAGGGGTGATGATTGCACAACAATGCAACTGTACACTTAAAATTGGCTAAGTCTTGGGGAGGTGACTCATGCCTGTAATCTCAGCTACTCTGGAGGCTGAGGCAGGAGAATTGCTTGAACCTGGGAAGCGGAGGTTGCAGTGAGCCAAGATCACGCCATTGCACTCCAGCCTGGCATCACAGCGAGACTCTGTCGCAAAAAAAGAAAAAAAAAATTTGGCTAAGATGGTAAAGATTGTGTTATGTATATTTTACAACAATGTACAAGAATTCAAATGAACCAATTTTAGGTGTGAAGAATTTTGACAAATGTATTCAGTTGTGTGATCACTTCCATCATCCGGAAAGATTCCCTGTGTCCACTAGTAATCAATCTCTCCATAACCACTGCCACTGCCTCCAGTCAACCACTAATCCACTTTCTGCCCTTACATATTAGCCCCTTCCCTTCCCCTTTCCCTTTCCCTTCCCTTTCCCCTCCCCTCCCCTCTCCCTTTTTCTGTTTTCTTTTCTTTTCTTTTTCTTTTTTTCTTTTCTTTTCTTTTGCTCTGTCACCCAGGCTGGAGTTCAGTGGCGTGATCTCGGCTCACTGCAACCTCCGCCTCCCAGGTTCAAACCATTCTCCTGCCTCAGGCTCCAGAGTAGCTGGGATTACAAGCGCTCGCTAACGCAACCAGCTAATGTTTGTATTTTTAGTAGAGATGGGGTTTCACCATGTTGGCCAGGCTGGTCTTGAACTCCTGACCTCGTGATCCACCTGCCTCAGCCTCCCAAAGTGCTGGCATTACAGGCGTGAGCCACCATGCCTGGCCTCTTTCTTTCTCTCTTTCTCTCTTTCTTTCTTTTTGAGATGGAGTCTCACTCTGTTGCCCAGGATGGAGTGCAGTGGTGTGATCTCGGCTCACTGAAACCTCCGCCTCCCTGGTTCAAGCGATTTTCCTACCTCAGCCTCCCAAGTAGCTGGGATTACAGGTGCCAGGCTGGTTTTGAACTCCTGATCTCAAGTAATCCGCCTGCCTCGACCTCCCAAAGTGCTAGGATTACGGGCATGAGCCATGATGCCCGGCCCATATTAGTGTTTTCTTTCTACAATTTCATGTAACTGGAATCCTACAGTATGTACCCTTGTGGCTGGCTTATATCACGTGACATCATGTTTTTGAGATTTATCCATGGTGCTATGCCTGTTGGCAGGTGGTTTGTGTTATGGCCGAGACGTATTCCATCCTGTGGGCATACCACAGTTTGATCATCCACCCTCCCACTGATGAACAGTCATGTCATTTCTGCTTTTCCAGATCGGGACTATTATGAATAAAGCTGTTGTGAATACTTGTATGAACATGTTTTTATTTCTTACTGGTAAATACTTAGGAACAGGATTGCTGAGTCATATGGTAAGTTTGTGTTCATTTTATAAGAAACTGATCGACTGTTTTTCAAGGCGGTTACAGTGGGTTGAAAGGTGGCCCCCGAAAGATATACCCATGTCCCGTGCCCTGGAACCTGTGAGTGTGACCTTATTGAGAGGAAAGGTCTCTGGGACGTAATCAAGGATCTCCAAACGGCATCATCCTGGATTTAGAGTGGTTTCTTACATCCAGTGACAGGTGTCCGTATAGGGGAAAGGCAGAGGGAGATGTGAGACACAGAGACACACAGGGGAAGAGGCAATGCAAAGACAGAAGCAGAGACTGGAGCGATGCCTCCATGAACCAAGGAAGGCCAAGGATCGCCAGCAGCCACCAGGAGGTAGGTGGGAGGTGGGAACCAGATTCTCCATCAGAGCCTCAGAAGGAAGCAACCTCACCAATGCCACTGCCCAGGCTACAGTGCAGGCCTACTGGCTTCCAGGAGATTAATTCATCCCTCCAGCAAAATGGGTGAGGTCCTGAAGGGCTTTGGACCAATCCCGGGCAAGATGGTCAGGAGAGGAAGAGGAGGAGTCAGCAAAGGCAGGAGGCGGGCCCAAGAGTCTGCCCAAACTGGACCCAATGATTGGCCCGGGGTGTCTCCAAGGTCTGAGCTGGACCAATCAGAATCCTGTTCCTGAATGACACAGCAGCTGAGAGACAGCTGATTCTCACATTGTTTCCTCTGAAGTTATCTCTCTGAAGGCAATTACAACAAGTCTTGTTAATTTCTTGCAATGGCAGCAGATCCTGTTAATTTCCTACCCAACTATAGTTCCCCTCCCCATGCTTCCTCTAGGCAAAGTCCGCACCCCACCATGGGGACTGGAAATGACAGATGTTCACTAGCCAGACCGCTCTGCAACTCGGGGTAGCCACACAGCCGGGTTCTGGCAAGAGAGAAATAAGGAGAATTATTCTGTGGAGGAAAAAAGGGGAACACAGAAGGGGAGGCCCCGGTCTACACTGCCTGCTTTAGATGCCAGTGTGTGAGAACACGATGCTGCTACAGACAGTTTGTACTCAGGAGGGGAATGAACACCAATCTCAGAGATGCCAACTAAAGCCTAATGTTGTTGAGCAGCCGAACCAACCCTGGGACTGTCTTTGAAAAATCTGATATGCAAACATGGAAAAAAATCTTTTCACTTAAGCTCTTTCAGTGGAGAAGTTTTTGTTTGTTTGTTTGTTTTGCAGCCAAAGGTATCATAACAGGTACCGCATTTTACACCTGGAGCTCCAAGTGGCCATCTCATTGCCACTGCAAACACCTGAGAGAGAAGTCAATAGCCAGGCGCAGTGGCTCACACCTGTAATCTCAGCACTTTGGCAGGCCAAGGCGGGCAGATCACAGGAGGTCAGGAGTTCGAGTCCAGCCTGGCCAACGGGGTGAAACCCCGTCTCTACTAAAAATACAAAAACTTAGCCAGGCACGGTAGCAAACGGCCGTAATCCCAGCTACTCAGGAGGCTGAGGCAAGAGAATCGCTTGAAACCAGGAGGTTTAAGTGAGCCCAGATCACACCACTGCACTCCAGCCTGGGCAACAAGAGTGAAACTCCATCCAAAAAAAAAAGAGGAAAGCGGAAGTGAAAGAATCCCTTGAACACCTGGATCTAACCATGCCTGAAGTCCCTCTGTGTTCATAGGCTTTCCATGGACAGAGGTCTTTCAATTCTGTCTATGGTTTTGGGTTGAATTTTGTGTTCTGTACTCACAATGATCCTGGCTAACACCATTTTTATAAACTGAGGCTCAGCGAGATCATTAAGTTGCCCAGTCATAGAAAGAAACACAAATTTGTCTATTGCAGAGCCAGCATGTTCCAATCCAGCTTCCTAGTCTCAGAGAGGACAGGAGGCCCAGGTGGAGTGAGACCCACGGAGTGTGTTTATTCTGGCGTTGATAGCAGCAGCAGTGGGGGGACCGGCCAGACGCGGGGTGTGGCGAACAGAAGGGGTGGACACAGGTGTGTGTGTGTCTGAAAGGACAGAGAGGATTGGCCCATTGACATTCACGGCGAGAACAAGGGTCGGGACACCAAGTCTTGGACGAACAGCAAAGTGACAGAGACAGACAGAGGGCTTTGGGGGGCAGGGGTCCCCCAGACATGCATGGCCCCTCGCCTCAAGGGGGAGCCCCAGGGAAGAAAAGACAGACACAGTGGAGGCTGAATGCCCCCCACCCTGAAAGAAGGAGCTGGGCCGGCCTCCTCCCATCCTCTCGCTTCCAGGGGTAGGAAGCCTAGGGCCAGGGCTGCCCTGCACCAGCAGCTCGGACGTTATGGCTTCAAGGAGATGAATTCACGGTCCGGGCAGGAAAGGATGGGGTCCTGAGGGAGCCTGGTCCGATCCCGGGCCTAGGCCAGACCTGCACGATGGAGCAGGAGAGGAGGGGTCAGCGACGGCAGAGAACTGCGTCACGACCTCCTGCAGCTCCATCACCACCCAGAGACCCAGGCCCAGCTCCTCCTCCCTCAGAGCCAGGAGTCCAGGCCCCCGGCCCCTCCTCCCTCAGACCCAGGAGTCCAGACTCCAGCCCCTCCCTCAGACCCAGGAGTCCAGGCCCCCGGCCCCTCCTCCCTCAGACCCAGGAGGCCAGGCCCCCCCTCCTCCCTCAGACCCAGGAGTCCAGGCCCCCAGCCCCTCCTCCCTCAGACCCAGGAGTCCAGGCCCCCAGCCCCTCCTCCCTCAGAGCCAGGAGTCCAGGCCCCCAGCCCCTCCTCCCTCAGACCCAGGAGGCCAGGCCCCCGCCCCTCCTCCCTCAGACTCAGGCATCTCCACCCCCAGCCCCTTCCCTGTGGCCAGGCTCCTTACCCCTCACTCAGAGTTCTCTTTCTCTGATAGTCCTTTGCTGCCTTTTGTGAAGCTGGTCAAAGTCTTTTCCTAAAGGAGAAAGTCCAGAAGGTTCAGGAGTGAGGGACAGAGATTTGAAACAGACGCTAATCATCAACAGGAGAAGACGTCAATCCTGTTTCATTATTTAGGATTTAGGATGCGCTTTCTCACTTGGCCCTGAAGTGATGGACAGATGGTATTACGATTGCATTCTACAGATGGAGAAATGGAGGCACAAAAAAGAGGAGTCTCTGCAAATGCGAGGAGAGATGGGGCTGTAGGGATGAGTGCGGCAGGTCCTGCACGGCATCAGAGGAGCTGAGACTCTGTCCTGGGGCCACTGGGGAGCCACGGGCGGGCTGTGAGCAAGGAAGGGGAGGAGAAGCTCTGGGTGTAGAAGGATCTTCTGAGGCCACAGGGAGCACGAGGGGCTGAAATTCATGGGCAGTGTCAGGGCTGGGCCCAGACTCTGTGCCGCCAGTGTTGCCCAACATGGGCAGTGGCTCACCAGAAACTCCTCAGGTTTGTGGGATGAATTAATGAATGGATGAATGAGTGAATGACAGAAGGAGGGAGTAGCCTCCATCCTATCCACCTTAGTAGAGTCCTCGTCTTTTCCAATCTCAAATCTGAGCTCTGTGCCCAGCTGCTCGGTCCCTCATCATCACTGGAAAAAAACCCATGGCAGGGCCGGACTCAATCTGGTGATGTGGTGAAAGTTTCACCCGGTACTAAATGTAAATGTGTGCCCCAAATGCAGCAATCAAGATAAATAATATTTAATGCAATATTGGCCAGGTGCGCTGGTTCGTGCCTGCAATCCCAGCACTTTGGGGGCCCGAGGTGGGTGGATCACTTGGAAGTTTGAGAGCAGCCTGGCCAACATGGTGAAACCCTGTCTCTACAAAATAAATAAATAAATAAAATAATAAAGTAATATAAAATAAAATAAAATAAAATAAAAATTTAGCTGGGTGAGGTGGCACACGCCTGTAATCCCAGCTACTTGGTAGGCTGAGGCAGAAGAATCACTTGAACTCAGGGAGGGGAAGGTTGCAGTGAGCCAAGATTGCAGCGCTGTACTCCAGGCTGGGTGACAGAGTGAGACTCTGTCTCAATAATAATAATAATAATGATGCAATATTTTTTAAAAATCAAAATTAATGCAAAACAAATCCATGTTGAACAAAATATCAAATTTTTAAAAAGGGCCAGTCTCATGCCACATTAGACTGCTATTCCAAAGGAAATGTGTGTGCCCCTATATACTTGCTTTTTTTTTTTTAAGGAGAGGGTTTCTTGCTCCATTGCCCAGGCTGGAGTGTGGTGGTGAGATCATAGCTCACTGCAGTAACAAACTCCTGGGCTCAAGGGATCCTCCTGCCTCAGCCTCCCGAGTAGCTGGGATTGCAGGCGCCCGCTACCACACCCAGCTGCTTTTTGTATTTTTAGTAGAGACAGGGTTTCGCCATGTTGGCCAGGCTGGCCTCGAACTCCTGGGGTCAAGTGATCCTCCCACTTCAGCCTCCCAAAGTGCTGGGATTACAGGTGTGAGTCACCTCACCTGGCCCCATTTTAAAAAATAAAGTCCACTCAGTATGCTATGACCAAGTAATTTTCACAGCCTGCTCTTAACACAACACAAACCAAAACAAATAAAAACCCCACTCCATCTCCATCTTCTCACCCAGTTTCTCCTCTCTGTTTTTCCTTTCCTTTCCTTTCCTTCCTTCCTTCCTTCCTTCCTTCCTTCCTTCCTTCCTTCCTTCCCTCCCTCCCTCCCTCCTTCCTTCCTTTCTCTTTCTTCTTCTTCTTCTTTTTTTTTTTTTGCTGTTGTTATTGTTGAGACGGAGTTTCGCTCTTGTTGCCCAGGCTGGAGTGCAATGGCGCCATCTCGGCTCACCACAACCTCCACCTCCCAGGTTCAAGTGATTTTCCTGCCTCAGCCTCCCAAGTAGCTGGGATTACACGCACGTGCCACCACACCCAGCTAATTTTGTATTTTTAGTAGAGACAGGGGTTTCTCCATGTTGGTCAGGCTGGTCTCGAACTCTGACCTCAGGTGATCCGCACGCCTCGGCCTCCCAAAGTGCTGGGATTACAGGCGTGAGCTACCGCGCCCGGCCCCCTCTATTTTCAACTTAGCCTCATGGGTAACAACAGCAGCGACCACTTACAGAACGTTTAACTCAGCACATCTCACCTCTATCCTAACAGAAGATGCTATCAATAGTCCCATTTCCTAGTGAGTAAACTGAGGCATGGAACGCTTGGGTAACTGGCTCTAAGCCACACAGCTGAAGTTGGCACAGCAGGGATTGAAACCGAGGATGCCTGGTTCTGTGGCTTATAAACATGCAGGGCGTTCATTGCATGGATGAAGGGGCCGAGGGCGCACGGGTGCTTGTCAGGGGTGGGTGTGGGACCACACTCACCTCCACTAGCTGATGCCAGTGCTCCACGGGCTTGCGGGGGTTGGCCAGCATCTCCGCCCAGTGCTCGCGGCCGTGCGGGTCGGCAGCGTCGGGGCCCACGCGGCACACGCCGATCACCTCGTTGTGCCCGATGCTGGGGGTTGGGGTCGGTAAAGACCAGAGGAGGGCAGTGGGAGGGCCTGTCCCCACCCCAGCCCTCCTGCCTGCCCCCTGCCCGGGCCGCGCCCCTCACCAGTCGTAGTCCACCACGGCGATGCTGAGCCCCACGTTCTCCACGCTCTCGGGGGCCACGTCGAACACCAGCGCTTCATTATACGTGGGGTTCAGCGTGTTCTTCTTGATGGAGGTTTTCCGCTTCTTCAGACGCCGCCCCTCGCTGATCAGAGAGGCCTTCACGTAGGGGTCTGGGAACAGCAGTGAAGCAAGGAACAGAGATTCCCTCCCTCAGACCCAGGAGTCCAGACCCCCGGCCCCTCCTCCCTCAGACCCAGGAGTCCAGACCCCCGGCCCCTCCTCCCTCAGACCCAGGAGTCCAGATCCCCTGCCCCTCCTCCCTCAGACCCAGGAGTCCAGGCCCCGGCCCCTCCTCCCTCAGATCCACGATCCTCACCTGAGAAGCCAGTGAGGTCCATCGCTTTGAGGTTAGAGGCTTTGATGATGGTCACGGTGAGGCGCCCGGCCGTGGGGAGGTAGCAGAGTGAGAAGTTGAGCTCCCCAAGATCTGCCTTTTCCTGCAGGTGGGGAAAAGGTCAGTGATATCGTGCCTCAGCCCCTCCTCAACTCTCCCTGATTTTCTCTCCCATTGGAGCCTCCCGCTCTCCACCCTGACATCCGGGCTCAGGCTTCCTATCCACTTAACAATCTGACTCTGGGCCAAGACCCAGTAACTCCCTGGCCACAGCTGCCCATGACTGTCAAAGCCTATTTGTTCTGTAGGGAAGATTGGAAGAAGCATGAGTGAGGGGAGAGAGAGAGAAGGTGAGAGAGAGAGAAAACACAGAGAGAAATAGACTGAGACAGAAGCCAAAACACTGAGGGATGCAGCAGGAAAGACAGACCCACAGGCAAAGTTCTAAAGTCAGAGGGACAGAGGCCCAGAGGCAGACAGAGACCCAGAGAGAGGGGGACAGAGACCCAGAGAGAGGGGGACAGAGACCTAGAGACAGAGAGATAGAGACCTAGAGAGAGGGAGTACAGAGACCTAGAGAGAGAAAGAGAGATATATAGAGAGAGACCCAGAGAGAGACAGAGGTCCGGAGAGAGAGAGGGACAGAGACAGTGGGTTGGGGTGTATAAAGACCCAGAGACAGTGATAGTTACCTAGAATTAAAAGTGGAGGGACAGAGACCAGAGAGTGAGAGAGAAACCTAGACTTAGACACCCTAGTCCCTGCACCGAAAGAGAGAGAGAGACAGAGAGAGACGGACTCAGACAGAGTGGGACAAAGACGGAGCAGAGACACACACACAAACCAGCCTGAGAGAGGGCAGATTCATCAGCCTCCACTGAAGTTTCCAGGACCGCCCCCAACCCTGACACACAGGCTGGAGCCATGCTGGAGCTAGCTGGGAGCTTTGACCAACCTGGCCCAGCCCTGCAGCCTCCCAGCTGCGCCAGCCCAGGGCCCTGGACTCCCCACTCACTCCCGTCAGGGCCTCTGTCCAGGCTGCCCCTCTGCCAGAACATTCTTCCCTCTATCTCCTCCTTGGCCTTTGAGCCTCTCCTCATTCCACAAGCTCCCAGCTCCCCTACAGCCCTGCACAGCTCCTTCTGTGCCTCCCCATAACCCTAGCCCCTGACACAAGGCCCAGCCACCTAGACCTGGAGCTGCCGAGGGCTGTCTGGGGTCCCCAGGCCCTGCTCCTGAAAAAGCAGTGGTTGAAGAAATGAATGAAGGCTGGGTGCAGTGGCTGATGCCTGTAATCCAAGCACTTTGGGAGGCTGAGGTGGGCGGATAATTTGAGCTCAGGAGTTCGAGACCAGGCTGGCCAACATGGCGAAACCCCGTTTCTACTAAAAATACAAAAATTAGCCGGGTGTGGTGGCGCATGCCTGTAATCCCAGCTACTTGGGAGGCTGAAGCAGTAGAATCACTTGAACCCAGGAGGTGGAGGTTGCAGTGAGCTAAGATTACACTACTATACTCCAGCCTGGGTGACAGAGGGAGACTCTGACTCAAGAGAGAGAGAGAGAGAGAGAGAGAGAGAGAGGGAGAAAGAGAGAGAATATACGAATCAGTGGAATGAGTGAGGAAAACTTCAAGTGATGATGATGGAGAGAGAAAATGAGAAGGGTGAGCACAAGAATGAGGCCAGCATGGATACAGAGAGAAGGCCCTGGGATGGGGCTGTCACGGCTGATGACCGGGAGCAGGAGCTGGTGGAACCCATGGGGCCCTGGGAACAGGGACCTTGGAACTGGGCACTTCAATCCCAAAGGCTGGGCTTGGGGGGCCAAGCAGGAAGACTGGGGAGAGCACCATGAAGAAGCCTAGAGGAAGAGCTATAGGCACCCAGCTCAACTGGACATCTGTCATTGGACAGATGGGGAAACTGAGGCTCAGAGAAGGAAGGGACCTTGGAGATCTAGTCCCCTCCTGATGTGAAGGCCACCCTCCCCACAACACACGCACAGCTACCTCAGATTGGCAGAGAACTGGAATGTTGGATAATCCACAGATCAGATTGGAATGGGGGGTGCTGTAGAGTTGAGGATCTGAGATTTGTTGGGGCAGAAGAGCTCAGGACACACACACAACAAGTACCTAAGAGTGGGGCTGGGGAGGGATTGGAGGTACAGGGACAACAAGGTGCCAGAGGGCAGGGGTCATAAGGAATAAGGGAGAGGCCATTGGGCCCTGTAATCTGGATGCTGGGAGAACTGGGGAGTGTCTGGATATTGGGGATCCCAGGATGGCGGAGGCCTAGGGGATCAGGCTATCAGGATTTGGGCAGGGACCATGAAAAAACAGAGGGTGAGAATATGAAAGAGTTCCCATGTCAGGAGTTGGGAAAATTCAGAAGTTCAGAGGTTAGAGAGGGATTGGGGCTTCTAGAAGTCCAGAACTTGGAAAGGAAGTTGGAAGGTCAGAAGTCTGGGGGGAGAGGGGAGAAGTCATGGGGCTGAGGCAGGAAGGCATCCGATGGCAAAGGGGGTGGGAGGTTGGAAAATTGGATCCAGGCCTGATGCTAATATTTGGCGACGTTGAGGAGAGGAAGGGTGTCTATTGTATCATTCTCTGTTGTTTTTTGTTTTGTTTTGTTTTTGAGACAGAGTTTCACTCTTGTTGCCCAGGCTGGAGTGCAATGGCATGATCTCTGCTCACAGCAACCTCCACTTCCTGGGTTCAAGCGATTCTCCCTCCCGAGTGTCTGGGATTACAGGCATGTGCCACCACGCCTGGCTAATTTTTGTATTTTTAGTAGAGATGGGGCTTCCCCATGTTGGCCAGGCTGCCCTTGAACTCCCAACCTCAAGTGATCTGCCCGCCTCAGCCTCCCAAAGTGCTGGGATTACAGGCATGAGCCATGGCGCCCGGCCCATTCTCTATTCTTGCCTGTAAGTTTGCAATCTTCCCCAGTGTGATACATTTTAACAGAAAAATGCGGGGACAGGAAGTGAGGAAGTTATGAAGTCTGAAGGCAGGGGACTTGCAACCTGGGGGGCGCTCAGGGCCCTGGGAAGGGGAAGGTCAGGGGAGGGGGCCACTGACCGAGCCGCCCTCCACGATGTCCCTCCAGAGCGGGCGGTCAGGGGGCTGCTCGGCCAGCTCCAGGAGGTTGTCCAGCACCACCTGGCCGATGAGGTCGTGCCGCGAGAAGCGGTCAAAGTCATAGACGCTGAAGTGCAGTTTGCGTTGGGCCAGCTCGGCCAGGGGCACCGAGAATTGAAACGTCTCATTGAAGACGGGGTTCAGGGTCTTCCTGTGCACCTGGTGGTGGTGGGTGACAGGAGACAAGACACCGTGCCCATAAGCCCCTCCTCCACAGGATCCAGGAGTCCAGGACCCCAGCCCCTCCTCCCTCAGACCCAGGAGTCCAGGACCCCAGCCCCTCCTCCCTCAGACCCAGGAGTCCAGACCCAGCCCCTCCTCCCTCAGACCCAGGAGTCCAAGCCCCTCCTCCCTCAGACCCAGGAGTCCAGACCCAGCCCCTCCTCCCTCAGACCCAGGAGTCCAGACCCAGCACCTCCTCCCTCAGACCCAGGAGTCCAGACCCAGCACCTCCTCCCTCAGACCCGGGAGTCCAGGCCCAGCCCCTCCTCCCTCAAACCCAGGAGTCCAGGCCCCCAGCTCCAGACCCCAGCCCCTCCTCCCTCAGACCCAGGAGTCCAGACCCAGCCCCTCCTCCCTCAGACCCAGGAGTCCAGACCCAGCCCCTCCTCCCTCAGACCCAGGAGTCCAGACCCAGCACCTCCTCCCTCAGACCCGGGAGTCCAGGCCCAGCCCCTCCTCCCTCAAACCCAGGAGTCCAGGCCCCCAGCTGCTGCTTCCTCAGACCCAGGAGTCCAGGACCCCAGCCCCTCCTCCCTCAGACCCAGGAGTCTAGACCCCAGCTCATCCTCCCTCAGACCCAGGAGTCTAGACCCCAGCTCATCCTCCCTCAGACCCAGGAGTCCAGACTCCTAGCTCCCTCTCTGTGGGACCCCGGTGTCCAGCCTGCTGCTCCGGACCTTGGTCTGAAATTTTTTCTTGCGGTCAGGCAGCAGGTAGATCTTGACGTAGGGGTCTGAGAAGCCGTTGGAATCCTTGGCAGGGAGGTCCAGGGCCTGCAGGATCCTCACCACCAGCTGGTCTGAGCCATAGAGGTACCGCAGGGCGAAGCTGATGCGGCCACAGGGTGCCCCTGTGCCTGCTTCTCCGGAGCCTGGGGCCCCCCCACCCCGCCGGCCACCAGGGCCAGTCCCCTGGTACAGCTCGGGCTTAATCTGCCCAATGAGTTTGGCTTTTTCCTCGCCGCCAGGCAGGGGTAAGGGCAGGGCGGGTGGCCGCTCCTCACTGTTGGGGTCCGGCTGGGAGGTCAGAGTCTGCTGGGTGAGGGGTCGGGGCAGGGCTGGGTACCTGTAGGGGGTGGGGGAGACCAAGGTGAGGTCAGTGACTCTGATCTTTGCATGCAGACACTTGAGAGATTCCTCTCTGCCTTTCCCTCTGTCACCCAGCCAGGTGGCCACAAGTGCCCTCCTTTGCTCACTGTGTGAGCTTGAGGGAGCCACTGGGCTCTCTGAGCCTCAGTTTCCCCATTGGTATCTGGGGGCATTCCCTCCCTCCCTCCCTTTCTTCTTTCTTTCCTTCTTTCCTTCTTTTTTGAGATGAAGTTTTGCTCTTCTCGCCCAGGCTGGAGTGCAAAGGCATGATCTCGGCTCACTGCAACCTCTGCCTCCCAGGTTCAAGCAGTTCTCCTGCCTCAGCCTCCCGAGTAACTGGGAGTACAGGTGTGTGCCACCATACCTGGCTAATTTTTATATTTTTAGCAGAGACGGGGTTTCACCATGTTGGTCAGGCTGGTCTCAAACTCCTGACCTCAGATGATCCGCCTGCCTCGGCCTCCCAAAGTGCTGGGATTACAGGCGTGAGCCACAGCGCCCAGTCTCATTCTCCCCATTTCAAAGCTAGCTCCAGCCTATACCTGTGAATGCACCAGCTTTCAGTAACCTCCTTTGGGCCTCAAGCTGGTGACCCAGGATGCTTCTCCATGGACCCCCGACGCCCCACATAACACAGACCTTCCTTGAACCCTCTTCTGCCCTTCTCTTAATCTCCCCGGCTGTCTCTCCTCTCTATCCCCACTGTCCTGGTCACAGCTCAGGCCTTGTCCTCTCCTGAACTCTCAGCCTCCAGTGTCTCCCTCCAGCCCACCCCATGTGGCCTCAGAGGGTTCCTTCTATACCCAGAGCTGACTCTGCCCCTCCCCTGCTCACAGCCCTCCCATGGCTTTTCAGTGCCCTTAGGACAAAGTCCCAGAGCCTCAGCCTGGCACTCAACGCCCCGTGTGGTCTGGTGTCCGTAGCCACATCTCTCAAGTTTTCTTTTTTCTTTTCTTTTTTTTTTTTTTTTTTTTTGAGATGGAGTCTCGCTCTGCCACCCAGGCTGGAGTAGAGTGTACAATCTTGGCTCCTGGGTTCAAGAGATTCTCCTGTCTCAGCCTTCTGAGTAGCTGGGATTACAGACACATACCACCACGCCCGGCTATTATCTTTTTTTGTATTTTTAGTAGAGACGGGGTTTCACCAGGCTGGTGTCGAACTCCTGACCTCAAGTGATCTGGCCACCTCGGCCTCCCAAAGTGCTGGGATTACAGGCATGAGCCACCGTGCCCAGCCTGAAGTTTTCTTTTTTTCAAACTTATTCTCATGCCTTGGTGACTAAGGCATGGTGCCCTGGCTGTCCCCTTGGTGTGGGCTGTCCCCACAATGCACTATGATCTCGTTCTCCTCTTGTCTTTGCCTGGGCCGCTCCCTTCACCTGGAATGCCCAGGTCACAGCCCTGCCTCTTTGCCTGACTAACTCTCCCTCAGCCTGCGGGTCTCAGCTGAGACACCTCCACCTCCAGGAAGCTTCCAGCCTTCTCCCAGCCTTGGTCCCCTGAGCCGCTTTCCTGCCTCACCAGCCCAGCTACACCAGGACAGCCAGTCTGGGGGCTGCCTTCCCTGCACTGTGAGTAACAGGAGGGCAGAGTCCGGTGTTTTCCTAATACCCTGCTCAGGCCTAGTTTATATTAGTGCTCAATATACATTTACAGGTATATTGAGGAATAATGAATGAAGGAACTCCAGGTCCCACTACCAATCCTGGCTTAGAGTGAAAGGGGGTGAATTGCCTTGTGCCACAGGGACTTGGGGATCCAACCTCATTCTCCTCTACTTTCCTGTCCTGAAGTCCTTTCCCCAGTCTCCTCCCTCTGGACCCAGGAATTCAGGCCCCCAGTCCCCTACTCCTTCGGGTCCAAGGGGTCTAGACCCCATAGCCCCAACCTCCCTCAGAGCCAGGAGTCTAGGGCCCCACCCTCCTCTTTCCCTAAGATCCAGGAGTCAATACCCCGATTTCCCTCCAAATCCCGAACCCATAAGAACCATAGATGGGAAAGAGACACAGAGGAGGAGCAGAAGTTCAGAGTGGACCCCCAGTCAAGTATCCTCTCTCACCTGGTGGTGGGTGCCAGGCTTGTGACCTGCTGATGTGACTGGGCGCTGGGCAAGCCCCCACCACTGGGGGGCAGCAGGAGCAACCCAGAGCCTGCTCCCCCCTCGGAGGGCAGCTCAGGGGATGTTTGGCTCGGTTTGACCCCAGCGGCCACTGCAGCTGCTGCAGCCTCTGGATACGAGTCCATGTCCAAGTAGGAGGGCTCAGGGGTGTCAGAACCCCCCAGGCTGCCTGGCTCCAGCAGCTCAGCAAAGGGTGGATGGTGGGCGGTGTGGGCATGGTGGTGTGGGCCACCCAGCAGAGGATGGCCACCCAGGCCAGCACCAAGGTGGTGCCCGCCGCCGCCTACCAGGCCTGCCAGCCCAACACCAGGGCCTAGGTCTTTGCGCAGGGGGCCACCACCTACTGCCGAGCCTCCCTTGTCCCGCCAGGGCACCCAGCACAACTTCCAGGACACGAAGAGAGAGACACCCAGAAGGACAATGCCACAGAATGTCACGATGACCGACAGCAGGCTCACGGAGATGTCTGGAGAGAATGAGGACAGAGGTAGGGGTCAGGATGGGGTCACAGTACCTCCTCCCTCTGCTGTCCCCAAAGAGTTAACCCTTCATATTTGCCATGCAATTGTCCATGCAATCGCAAGTGCCAGGCACTTTACACGTATTACTTAATATATGTTCTGCAACTCTACAAGGTAAGTATTGTATTTTTTTTTCAAAGAGATGGAATCTCTGTTACTCAGGCTGGAGTGCAGTGGCATGATCATAGCTCACTGCACCCTCGAACTCCTGGGCTCAAGCAATCCTCTCACCTCAGCCTCCCAAGAAGCTGGGACTACAGGTACTTGCTATCACACCTGGCTAACTTTTAAATTTTTTTGTAGAGATGAGGTCTTGCTCTGTTGCCCAGGCTGGTCTCGAACTCCTGGCCTCAAGCAATCTTCCCACCTTGGCCTCCCAAAGTGCTGTGATTACAGATGTGGCCACTGTGCCCAGCCCAGTATTTCTACATAACCATTTTAAAGATGAGGAAACTGAGACACAGAGAGATTCAGTGATTTGTTTAAAGCTTTACAAGTAACAAATGACAGATCTGAGATTTGAATCCAGCAGTCTGTCTCCAGATTTTATTCTCTTAATCACTAGACTTTGGTGCCTCTCTATAAGAGAACACAACATGTGAGGTAGCACCAAGGTCCTGCAAAATGCTCAGAGATGGTCAAGGAAGCAGGGACCCTGCAAGACACAGTTAGGCAGGTCAGGGTTTAAATCACGCTTGCTGTGTGGCCTTGGGAACGTATCTTAACCACTCTGAACCTTACACTTCCCATTTCCCAAGTAGGAAAAATCAGTTCTTCTCTCTTATAGTAGTTTGAAGGAATGCAGAAGGTAAATCACATGTGGAAGATAATAACAAACATATCTTGAGGGGTGATTACATACCAGATATCTCAGTACTTTATAGGGGTCAGGTTATTTAAGCCTGCCAGGCACTACATGAGGTTAGCAACATATTTATCCCTGTTTTCCACAAAAGAAAACTGAGATCAGTATACCTGTAATCACCTGCTCAAAGTTCATAGCTGGTAGGTGGTAGAGTCAGGATTTAAGCCTGGGAAGCCTGGCTTCAAAGCCCATGGTCTTCACCATGATGCTATCACACCTCAATGCTTCCCAATAAATGGTAGTTCAAATGTGAATTTTTATTAGAATAATAAATCCTATTGCTGCCACCATTTGTGTCCAACACCGTCAACACCATAGCTAACACAATCTGAATGCCACATATGTGCTGATACGCCTTGCAGAGAAATCCAAGTACAGAATTGTTCTTACAACCAAAGGTTTTGGGCTTCTTCAGTAATTGGTACCAGGAGTGGGGTTTTTCAGAAATGACCTTCAAGGAATGGGAATTTATTTTGAAATGGACTTCTGGATGTTGGCAAAGTGAAAGGGAAAATCCCTACTCCAAACAGACAGTGGATTATGGTGGGGAAGCAGTGGATTATGGTGGGGAAGCAGTGGATTATGGTGGGGAAGCAGGTAGGAGGGCCATTGCCAGCAAGGACAGCTGAGTGGAACGGCTGTGTCCAGTTACATTAGGGGACACATAGCAGGAAGGGGATGCCTTCTTGTCCTGTACTGCTCAGTGAAGCTATAGTGGTGTGTGACATTAATCCTTATGACATTATATAACTTTGAAATGACTTATCCCATTTTACATATGAGAAAACAGGCTCTGAGAGAGAGGAAGTGGCCCTGCAGGGACACATACCAGGCACTGGCAGAACTCTGGGTTTCCTTCTCCCCTCCCTCTTAGGGTGCTTTATTTATTTATGTATTTATTTTATTTTTTTGGAGGCAGTCTTGCTCTGTCGTCCAGGCTGGAGTGCAGTGGTGTGATCTCAGTTCACTGTAGCCTCTACCTCCCAGGTTCAAGCAATTCTTGTGCCTCAGCCTCCTGAGTAGCTGGGACAACAGGTGGGCACCACCACACCTGGCTAATTTTTGTATTTTTGGAATAGACGGGGTTTTGTTATGTTGGCCAGGCTAGTCTCGAACTCCTGGCCTCAGATCCATCCACCTCAGCTTCCCAAAGTACTGGGATTACAGGTATGCACCACTATGCCTGGCCAGACTGCTCCTTTTTTTTTTTTTTTTGAGACAGAGTCTCGCTGTGTCACCCAGGCTAGAGTGCAGTGGTGCGATCTCGGCTCACTGCAAGCTCCGCCCCCTGGGTTCATGCCATTCTCCTCCCTCAGCCTCCCGAGTAGCTGGGACTAAGGTACCCACCACCATGCCCGGCTAATTTTTTGTTTTTGTGTTTTTAGTAGAGATGGGGTTTCACCCGTGTTAGCCAGGATGGTCTCAATCTCCTGACTTCATGATCCACCCACCTCAGCCTCCCAAAGTGCTAAGATTACAGGTGTGAGCCACCGCACCCGGCCCAGAGTGCTCCTTTTTAAGTGACCAACACTCACTGAGCATTCTGGGAGGCCTGTTAGAAACCAGAGGCAAGGACTTTACGAACCTCCTGAACACAGGGTGAGTTGAGAAAACAAGGTCATTATGGAGAAAAATTAAACAGATGCTTTCCCCTACTGCCAGCCTGATTCAAACCCTGTTCAACTCAGAACATGGATCCCACACACCCTGACAGGTTCGCCATTCCTGTCTGCACAGACCGGGGAGCTATTTGGGCATGGAGAGGTGGTGTAGTTGTGCAGTAGAAGATTCACCTTGTCCAGAGAAAGGTTTGGCCCTTGATCAGCTCCTGGGAGGGAACTTCTAAGCCCAGGGAATGTCCTGCCTGATTAGAGTGTCTTTGTTTATCTGGAGCCTTGGATCATGCGGCATAGTCTATGCTAACACTGTGATGTATGCTGGAGGCCTCCGGCTCAACCTCTGGAGGAGCTGGAGACTGAAGTCAGCCACACCAGCAATCAGCCACGTATATGGGACTGGCCCCCAATAAAAACCTTGCACACCAAGGCCCAGGTGAGCTTCCCCGGTTCGTAATAGACTGTGCATGCTGTCACACGTCATTGCTGGGAAAATTAAGCACTGTCCATGTCACTCCACTGGGAGAGGATGACTGGAAGCTCACACCTGCTCTGTGCTGGATTCTGCCCTGGGTGCCTCTTCCCTTTACTGACTTCAGTCTGTATCGTTTCACTGTAATAAATCATAACCATGAGTATAACAGTTTCTGGCCAGGCACGGTGGCTTATGCCTGTAATCCCAGCACTTTGGGAGGCTGAGGCAGGTGGATTACTTGAGGTCAGGAGTTCGAGACCAGCCTGGCCAACATGATGAAACCCTGTCTCTACTAAAAATACAAAAAAATTAGCTGGGTGTGGTGGCGGGCGCCTGTAATCCCAGCTACTCGGGAGGCTGAGGCAGGAGAATCGCTTGAACCTGGGAGGCGGAGGATGCAGTGAACCGAGATCCCACCGTTACACTCCAGCCTGGGCAACAAGAGTGAAACTCTATCTCAAAAACAAACAAACAGACAAACAAAAACGGTTTCCTGAGTTCTGTGAGTCAATGATTCTAGCAAATCATTGAAGCTGATGGTGGTCGTGAGGACCCCCAAACTACAGTGCTGTACTAGACTACGCAGGATTCAGTTTTGCCTCTGCTACCATCGAGCCTCTGGGCAAGTGACCGCTGCTCTCTCGGCCTTATCCCTCATGACTGTCACCTGGACATCCTGCACGTGAGGTGCCAGGCCCTGCCCTGGGGCTCAGCAGGTGCGACTGTGGTTATAATCACTCAGCACATGCTCCCTCTCGTCAGCGTTTCCTCATCTGGGCAACGGCACTCATAATATTGCCTCATTCCCAGAACCCTGCTGCTTTCCAGCTGTGCGACCTTGGATAGGTCACTTCACCCTTCTCAGCCTCAGTTTCCTCTGTTGAAAATGGGGATTGTATGTTCCACAAAGGGTCACTGTCTCAATGAGTAATCATTGAGATGTGCAAAGGGCCTCGCGTGCTGCCTGGACCACAGTGGGTGCCCAGTAAGCGAATCCCAGCATCGAATGAATGACCACTGCGTGCCCAGCATTGTTCTAAGTGCTTCCTGGGTGTTGCATCATTTAAGCCTTTCATCTGTTCGATGAGGCATCCCTTTTATTATCCCCATTTTCCAGATGAGGAGACTGAGGCCCAGAAGTAGAGTCACTTACCTACAGCCATGCAGTTATTTAAAAAGTCAGGGACATGGAACTTGAACCCAAACAAGTCAGTCTGACTCAAGAGCCTGAGATTTACACAAGATGCACAGAGATATCTGAAGGGGGCATTTGGTGGTGGTAGTCAGAGGGAGGCCCACAGGGCAAAACTCAAAAAGCAGACCACACAGCTCCTTCTCCTTGGATCAGAGATTTGGGAGAGGGGCAGCAGCAGGCAGGATGGGGGCAAGACTCTGCGAGGGACTGACCCCGCAAGTGATGGAAAGCTGAGCAGTTCTGCTCCGAGTCGCCCGGCCATAGTGCAGGCAGGGGGTTGGCCAAGACAGGCAGGGGTGCTGACCTGCATCTGGACCCCGGGGATAGCCTCGGATTCGGTCACTGAACTCCTGGCACCTGTTGCTGGTGTCAGCATCTCGGATCCGTGCACAGAGGTCTGAGACCAGGACGAGTGCCCGCCGGCAGAGGTCATCCTCGTAGTCTCCTGACATGGTGGCCGTCTGGTCCTGTGCGTGGGAGGGATGGGGCAAGGGTGCAGATGGGAAACAGAATGGGAGAGCAGGGTGGGCAGGTGTGGAGATAAGGGTGGAAGGAGACACCGAGCAAAGGAAGGATGGGCAAAGGGGACAGAGATTAGGGGCAGATGGATTAGGGATGGAGATTTGAGGAAGAAGGACAAGGTGACAGGTACTAGAGAGGGATGGACAAGGAAAAGGAATTAGGAGTGGACAGACAAGAGGGCAGAAATTAGGGATGGAGATAGTAACAGGGACTGGGTACGTCAAGGGGACAGAGATGGGTGTGAACGGAGTAGAGGACAGAGAATAGGGACAAATGAACAAGGAGGAAGAGACGGAGAAGGGCAGTGAAGGGACTAAGAATGAGAATGCACAAATAAAGGGATGGACAGATGAGGAAACAAAGATTAGGGCTGCACAGATGAAGGAACAGGAGTTAGGGATGAGCAGACAAGGTGCCAGCCATTCATCATTCATTCATTCAACAAATATCCCTCTAGCACCAACTGTGCCCTACATGCTGTGCTGGTTGCTGCGAATCCAGCAGAGAACAAGGTCCTGGAGTTCTCTGACCTCCTGGTGTCACAATCCAACGAGAGGAAACATAGAGTAAACAAGCAAACAAAAACACATACACAAACCTGTGGTTCTCAGACTGACTGTCAGAAGCACTCCACAGGACACAGCCGGAGGATGCATCACAAAGGAACTCAGAGGGGGACGGTCAGGGAGGGCTCTCCCAGACCTGAAGGATGACATGGAGCCAGCCACAGGCGGGGGACAGTGGCGCTGGGGTGGGGGAAAGCATTTTAGAGAAAGGCATTTTAGACGGCAGGAACAGGATGAGCAGGGACTTAGGGTAGGAAAGCACTTGGAGGGTCCAGGGACCAAGGAGGCCAGAGTGGGGTAGACGCAGGGAGGGCCAGGAGAGAAGGATGGATGCCGGTAGAGAGAGAGGAGGTGAAAAGGTACGGTGGGAGCCTGGGGGTGGAAAGGTGGAGATGCAGAGATGGGGACCAAGTTGAGGGAGGGAGACAGACAGGGAGGGGAGACAGAGATAATGTGAAGGGCAGACTGAGGCTCGGAAGAGGTGAACAGGCAGGCAGAAGGAAAGTCAAGGATTGAGACTTGGGATGGACAGTGACAAGGAATGAACTGAGGTGTAATTAATTCACAGGGGCTCGAGAGACAAGGGGACAAGAGACGGTGAAGAGGGGCAGGCAGGAGTGTGGGCAGAAATATCTTTGAAAGAGAAATGGTCGAATGGGAGCATGGATGGGTGCGGAAATAAAGGACAGTGGATGATGGCTAGAGATCACAGACAGACAAAAGGAGAGAGGAGGGCTGGGCAGGCAGACATGGGTTCATAAGGGAAGGTTCAATGAGTACATAAATGAGAGGAGGCTAGGAAGGAGAGGTGGATGTGAGGAGAGGGGGAATTAGTGACACATGGCTCGGAGCCAGGCATCAAGATGGGTTGAAGGGGATGCAGAGGAATTAGGAACAGACAGACCAGGGCTCACAGATGGACAGGTGTCGTGGGGGTGCTGCAGAAGGCCAGGACTCTAAGACAGGCATGGTCACACTCACCTGCGCTTATCTCTGCCGTGTTCTGGGTGGCAGCCGAGGCGGCGGCGGGCGGCAGCCCATGGGGGTTGTAGGGCGGACAAGGGACTGTGGACCCGTTCCCACGCGCCGGGTAATGAGAGGGGAAGTCTGATCTGGGAGCTGAGGCCAGGAGAAAAAGCTCAGCTTAAGAGTCACATCTTGTCCTGCTCGAGCCAGCTGCCCTACCCCAGGCGACCCACTGGGAGCCCGGCCACCCCCTCCCACCTCAGGGCCCCCAGCTCCCGTTAAGGGCTTAGAGACTACAATTCCCGGCAGGCCTCGCGCTCGCGCTGCTGCGGCTTCATAGACCTAGAGCTGCAGGGCTGCTGGGAGTTGAAGTCCTTAATGCCTCTCCGGGCTGCAGAGAGGATGGGATTTTTTTTTTTTTTTTTTTTTTTTTCTAAAGGTGTGGGGGGGGTAAGATGCGGGGGGTCCCAAAGACGCCCTGCAGGGGGAGGAACAATGTCCAGGACTTCTAAAAGCCACGGAGCCCTAAGTCCTCAGGGCCACGGAATGGGGAACGATTTCCCGCGCTGGAGATAGGTGGGCGACGGGTGGGGTACACCAGGTGTTCGGGACCCCTTCCAGGGCCACGCCCCTCCCCCGGGGTGGGCCAGAGAGGGCGGCAGCGCGCCCACTCCCCGGCCCAAGATCCCGCTGCGCCTGCATCTACCCCGCCCCCATGGCGCCGGGCCGACCCCCGGGATCTGCTGGGGCTGGGCTTTGGCAGGGGAGGGGAGGAGCGGGACCCTCAATCCGACGCCGCTGCCGCCCGCCTGCGCGAGCCCTGCGCGCGCGCGTCCGCTCGGCGCCTCCCTCGCCACTGTCGCAGGGTCCGCGACTCTCGCACCCTTTCCCACTCTGAAACCCCGCGCAAGAAAGCCGAAAGCCGGGTGGCCAGCAAGGAAGCGAATTTCCCGGGACCCAAGGCATCGAGACCGACCCGTGGTGCCACACTGGCCAGAGACTGGATGGTGACGTCTGCTATCTCCAGGGTCCTCCCCTATGCCCATCACAGAGGTGAAGCCAGGACCCACGGCCCGTTTCCGGAACCCGGACTTCACGGACCCTCTCCACCTGAGACCCGCTGAAGCGGTGTGGGAGCGGCAGCTGAGACAACAAAGTAACAGTGCCACCGCCCAGATGGTGAGGTATTAAGCAGGAGACCTGGTTATGAATCCCCTGGCACTCTGCCTGTTGCCCTCTGCTCGCAAGCCCAACCGTTCAATCGTCCAAAATACACACCATACAACTTATTCCCTGAGAATCACAATTTTTGAAAACCACAGTGAATAAAATATTGCTACCGACTAGTACTTAAAATGAAATTCTCAAGCCAGCAAGTAACAGTTGTATATAATAGCAGTTTAATGAGCAATGTCCACTCCTATAAAGCTGAATGCAAGTACTTGGAAACGCAGTTTCTCATTTATCTTCACTGGTGCAATTATAACATTCCCATATTCACTAAGGAAGACAACTGAGCCCATGGAGGTAATCACCTCCGATGGTCCTAAGACAGGGGTTCCAATCTTTGGGCTTCCCTGGGCTCATTGTGTCTTGGCTACACATAAAATTACCACTAACACTAACATAGCTGATAAAAAAAAAATAACCAAAAAAAATCAATAATGTTTTAAGAAAGTTACAAATTTGTGTTGTCCCACACTCAGACCCTAACCTGGCTCAGTGGCCCTCAGCTGATGTTAACAACCGATCAGATCACACAGCTGGAGAGGTACTCGAGTCCCCCTCATCTCCTCATCAGTGATATCCAAAAAAAACCTAAGTAAAATCCAAGGCTGGGCTGACAACCTGTAAATCCCAACCTTGAGGCCGAATGAAGGATCGCCATTGAACCAGGTGATACTATCTTGACAAATAGCGAACTCATCTCTCAAAACACAAACAAAAACCAAACCAATGGGGTGTGGTGTGCCTACGCAGAAGGCGGAGTGAGGGGGGGACTGCAGGAGCCCAGGATTTGAGACGCATGGACCTAGAATTGCAACCACTGCAACCCATCACAGCCCTGGCGACGCATGACCCCACCATCTCAAAATAAACAGGCAGGTCGTGGTCATTCGTATTGTAGCAACCTTTGGAGCCAAGTAGGGAATCGCTTGAGCTCAGGATTTCAAGACCAGCGGGCAACAATACAAAACCCTTCATCTACAAAAAATACAAAATAATGGCTGGTGATACACACCTGTATCCTAGCTACTTGGGCTGCCGGGCAGAGGATCACTTGAACCAACCGGTGGGAGATTGCGGACAGGATGTCACGGCTCCAGCCTGGCACAAAAGTGAGACCTTCTCAAATAAAATAAAATGAAAAATAAAATAATTTAAGCAATAAAATAAATAAAAAATAAGTAATAAATAAAAACTTCTACTGCTTCTGCAATACAACCTTAACAACCCCTGGCCTCCTCTAAGATACACCTACCCTACGCTGCCTATGTGTGCATTTGCCAGTCATTATCCGACCAGCAGCACCCCAGAAATGCCTCCCAGGTTCCAATCCCTTCCTCGGATCTTGCATCCCCCAATGGATGTGCTTAATCCAGGGAGCCATGGTGGTGTAAACCTACACTAGTAGGTCTGGATTCACCTCACTAGCCGACCTCTAAACCCTACCTGCCGCCATCCGGCCACAGGTAGCCACTGTTCCCAGGAGAGACAATGCTGTGATGCACCGCGTCTAGAGATGGCACACAGATGGGCTTGCCAGCTGGCATGAACACGTTTCCAAAGAAATGCTCAATTCCAGGCTGCCCAGAGCATTGAAGAGGCGCCTAGTCATGTCTGTGACTTTGGGCAACACATTGGATCAGATCCGTGCCTGCCATCTTCCATGACTTGAGGGGTTTACTTATATTCTCCAAGGCTCATTTCCCTCTCTGTAAGGCAGTAATACGACTTTTAATATATTCTGGCTGGTCAGGCTTATGCCCTGTAATCCCAGCACTTGAGCGAGTGAGGCGATACCTAAAAAAGGTCGAGTTTGCAACAGCCTGACCACATGGAGAAACCCGTCTCTATTAAAAAATACAAAATAGCCGGGCCATTGCACAAATGCCCGTAAACCTCACTACTTGGATGCTGAGCAGCAATCACTTACCCGGAGGGAGGTTCAGTGGAGCCAGATCCAACGCCACTGCACTCAGCTGGCAACAGAGCCAAAACTCTGTCTAAAAAAAAAAAAAAAAAAAGAAAGAGAGAAAGAAAGAAAGAATCATATTCTATCTCATTGAGTTATTTTGAGGATTAAATTAAATTCACGGAAGGTGCTTAGGAAAAATGGCTAGTGTTTAGTGTTGTCATAACTAAAAATGAAATGCATTTGCTCATTTAAACTTTAGCTGGACTTGACAAGTGAGGAAATTGAGGCTCAGCAAGGGAAGTGCCCTGCCCAAGATCACACATCTGGAAAGTGTGAGTGGAAATTAAAAACTGTATGGGTCTGGACCAAGTGCAGTAGCTCACACCTGTAATCCCAGCACTTTGGGAGGCTGAAGGCAGGAGGATCCTGTGAGCTCAGGAGTCGAGACTTGCCTGGACAACATAGTGAGGCCTCATCTCTATGAAAATTACAAAATTTAGCCGGGCGTGGTGGCACACACCTGTAGTCCCACCTGCTTGGGGGGAGGCTGAGGTGGGAGGATTGCTTGAGCCCAGAAGTCGAGGCTGTGGGGAAATGGAGGCTGCCCAGAGTCCTATCCCTGTGCTTTCTTGCATCCCCCCAGATGGATGTGCATTTACATCCAGGCTGGAGTGCAGTGAGCCATGATTGTGCCACTGCACTGCAGTTAGAGTGAGACCTTGTCTCAAAAAACAAAAAGAAAAAACAAAAAACGGAGTGGATCTGAATCCAGAGCCCTTGCCTTTAGCCACTATGCTGTTTGCATCTAGGACCCATTTGAGGACTTGCTTGCTACTGCTGCTAGGAGTATAGAACAGTATAAAGAGCACCGGACACGGAGCCAGGAGACAGAGATAGAATCTTCCATATTCATTCAACTCAATTCATGCAGTCATTTGAGAAATACTTTCTGAGCACCTAATGTGTGCCAGGTTTTTTTTTTTTTTTTTTTTTTTTGAGATGGAGTCTTGTGCTGTTGCCCAGGCTGTAGTGCAGTGGTGCCATTTCATCTCACTATCTTTTTTTTTTTTTTTTTTTTTTGGCACCAGGGATTCAGCTGGGAACAAAATAGACTAAAATTCCAGGGTTGGAAGATCTAGTGGAAGAGACAGAAAATAATCAAAATAACTACACATACTAGGATCCTCATACTAGGATCAATGCTAGGAAGGAACATCCATTGAGTTGTGTGTTTGAGAGAGGTCAGGGAAGCTCCTGAGCAAGTGACTTTTCAGCTGAGCTCAGAAGGATGAGTGGGCATAAGCCAGGTGGTGAAGATGAGGGAGGGAAGGGGAAATGCTCCAGGGAGAAGGAACAGCCCATGTAAGACCTGGGGGCAG